CCCCCCCCCCCCCCCCCCCCCCCCCTTTTCTCCATCCTCGCTACAGCTTTGCCTTGATTCTACCTCACGCTTCGTTGTCGCAACGCAATCAAACCTTTCCACCCGTGCACACCTTTGGGAAAGGGCAAAAAGTTGCGAAGATTGAGAAGCCGGAAACAGAAAGGAAATAAAAGGTGCGAATTGGGAAGGCGGTGTGAGTGCAGCAGCCGCCTCACTCGTCATCTACGAGCTTTGCGTTGTCCTTTGCGTTGTCGCGCGTGTCCTTGTTGCCGTCCTTGTTGTCCTTGTTGTCCTCGCCATCATCGCGCTGCTCCTTCTTGGCGCGCCTCGAGTAGTACTCCTTGATGATCTTGGGGCTGACGCGGTTGAGCTGTTCCTTGGGGAAGATCCTGAGCAGATCCCAGCCGATGTCGAGCGAGTCAAAGATGTGTCGGTTCTCGTACGCGCCCTGCTTGATGAACTTGTTCTCGAACTTTTCCATAAACTCGATCGCCAGCTTGTCCTCGGGGCCGAGCGCCTCCTCACCGACAACGGCCTTCATCGCAGCCGCATCGCGACCGGTGGCGTAGGCGGCGTACATCTGGTTGGACACGTCCGAGTGGTCGGCACGCGTGTGCTTGGCGCCAATCGCCGACTTCATCAGACGCGACAGCGACGGCAGCACATTGATGGGCGGGTAGATCTGACGGTTGTGCAGCTGTCGGTCGACATAGATCTGGCCCTCGGTAATGTAGCCGGTCAAATCGGGGATCGGGTGCGTCATGTCCTCGTTGGGCATGGTCAGGATGGGAATCTGCGTGATGGAGCCGTTGCGACCCTGCACACGACCGGCACGCTCGTAGATCGTCGACAGATCCGTGTACATGTAACCGGGGTATCCACGTCGACCGGGCACCTCTTCACGTGCCGCCGACACCTCACGCAGCGCATCGGCGTACGAGGTCATGTCGGTGAGCACGACGAGCACGTGCTTCTCGAGCTGGTAGGCGTAGTACTCGGCGGTGGTGAGCGCGAGACGCGGCGTGATGATGCGCTCGATGGTGGGGTCGTTGGCGAGGTTGAGGAAGAGCGTGACGCGGTCGAGCGAGCCGTTCTCCTCGAAATCCTGCTTGAAGAAGCGTGCGGTCTCCATGTTGACACCCATGGCGCCAAAGACGATGGAGAAGTTGTCCTCGTGGTCGTCGTGCACGCCCTTGCCTGCGCCGGGACGCTTGACGAGGCCGGCCTGACGGCAGATCTGCGCGGCGATCTCGTTGTGCGGCAGACCGGCGGCGGAGAAGATGGGGATCTTTTGGCCACGCGCGATCGAGTTCATGGTGTCGATGGTGGAGATGCCGGTCTGGATCATCTCTTCGGGGTAGACGCGCGAGTAGGGGTTGATGGGCGAGCCGTTGATGTCGAGGTAGTCCTCGGCAAACACACGCGGGCCCTTGTCGATGGGTGCACCGGAGCCGTTGAAGATGCGGCCCTGCATGTCCTCGGACACGGGCAGCTTCATGGAGGAGCCGGTGAACTCGATGTGGGTGTCGCGCACGTCGATGCCCGAGGTGCCCTCGAAGACCTGAACGATCGCCTTGTTGCCGGACACCTCGAGCACCTGACCGCCGCGACGCGAGCCGTCCGGCAGCGTGAGCGACACGATCTCGTTGTACGACGGGAACTTGACATTCTCGAGCACGACGAGCGGACCGTTGATGGCCGAGACGGTGCGGTAGTCGAGGCGCGGGTCGACGCTGTAGTTCTTGACGGCCGCCTGGGCGTTGATGTCAAACAGCTCCTTGTCGCTCATGCGAGGATCCGACATGGCGGGCGAAGCTAGAACGCACCTGCGCGGGCAGAAGTCGGAAAGGGGGAGCGCTAAGGGTGTGGTGGCCGAGTGAGACGAATGCACGAGCAGCAGAGAGGCAAGAGATAGCGACGAGGCTGAAGGAGTATTTCGAGGATTGGGCAAAGTGGAGAGAGCGGGTCGGATGCGGTGCGATGGGCTGCCTGCCTTTTTGGCTGCTGATCTGAGCTCTCCCGCTGGGGGGAGCGAGAGAGTGCGTGTGCAGTGGTGCAGTGCAGCAGCAGCTGCTCAGCAGCAGCTCACTTCCAACGCCGCTTCGGAATGCCCAGCGAATTTCGCAAAAAAGGCCCATGCGCGGCGCTCCTCGCTCCTCTCTCCATCCACACTCTCGACAGGGGCAGCCAGCAGCCAGCAGCCCAGCAGCCCAGCAGCCAGAACAGCCTGCACTTCCGCCAAGGCCCCACCCAAATTTCTTACGGCCGATATGCCTATCTTTGGCGCCTTCGACGTCAACGCTCTAACCATTCAAGCCTCCTCACGCCCACAGATAGACTCCCACCAGTCGAGCCGCCACACAGCATCGGCATCATGCGCTCTGTGCATTCACTCGAAGGACTCGGCGTCGCGCGAAAACGACAGCGAAAACGATAGCGAAAACGATAGCATTTCATCCGGGCTTCCAAATGTCGATGGTGATTTTGTTTCAGGTCCAGATCCAGCGCGGGGCAGGGGCTCACCAGCCACCGCCGCTCTTCTCGACGGGGATGGTGCGGCTGGCATCGCGGCGTTCCGACTTTTCCTTGGCCGCCGGTCCAACGGGGTCGTGCGACGGCGGCTGCAGACCGCGCGAGTCCATCTCGTTGAGAATGTGCGTAAAGGCGTTCTCCAGGCGTGCGTCCTTGAGCGCCGCAAACACGTCGAGGAAGTCCTCAAAGTGCAGCGCGCCCGTCTTGGTAAAGTCGACCTCGCTCACAATGCCGCGCAGCGTCGAGTCGTCCACGTCGGCATAGCCAATCTGCTGCAGCACCTCCTTGAGGTCCTTCGAGTCCAGCTTGCCGTCCTTGTTGACGTCGAGCAGCTTAAACTTGGCGCGCAGCTCCTCCATCTCCTCGGAGCTGAACGACGCACGTGCAGAGATCGCCAGCGCGTCCTTCTCGTCCAGCGACGCCGCGCCCAGCGACGACACCTTGAGCGCCTGCTGCTGCTTCTCGCGCAGCTGGCGCATCTGGTCCAGCGACGTCGCCTTGAGCTGATCCACGCGCGCAGGCTGCAGGCCCATGCTCGCCATAAAGTCCACGCTCTCCGCCCACTCCTGCTTCTTGCGCTTCTCGTCCCATCCGAGCTCCTCGCCCATCACGTCGATCACTCGCGGCAGCGCATCCACCGTCGCCTCGGCGTTGAGGAACGACAGACGCGTGCGGCGCGCGATAAAGTCCTGCGCCGTCGCCGCGTACTCGCTGCGGCAGGCGTAGCGGATCTCGGCCTCAATGTAAGGATACAGTTGGTCGATGCGCTTGCCGTGCACCGGCCACCTCTGGCCCGTCGGCTCGGCGATCGAGCACACGCTCCACGCGCGGTCGCCGTACGTGTTGGACAGGTGGCGCGCCACGTCCGTCTCGAGGCCGAAACGCTGCAGCAGCTTGACGTACATCGTCTTGGTCCAGCCGTGGCTGCCGAGCAGACGCGTGTTCTTGGTCACGCATCCGCGCTGCGGCTTGAGCTTGAACTCTTCGATGGCGCGGTCCACCGTCTGCTCCGCCATCTCGCGGTACGTCGTCCACTTGCCACCGGCGATGGTGAGCAGTCCCGATTCCGACACGTTGATCATGTGGTTGCGCACCAGCGACTGCGTGTCGGTCGCCGCCGGGTCCTTGACCAGCGGTCGCAGTCCCGACCACGCCGACAGCACGTCGCCACGTCGCACCTTGATGTCTGGGCTGAGGTAGTTGCGCACCTCGTCGAGGATCCACTGGATCTCCTCCTCCTTGGGTCGCGGGTGAGCCTCGACGGGCGCCGCCGTGTCCGTGGTACCGGCGATCGTGTTGCCCTGCCACGGAAGGAAGAAGATCACACGGCCGTCCGAAGTCTGAGGGTCGATGAGGCCCATGTCGCGCGGCGAAAAGTAGCCGGGCAGCGTGATGTGCACACCGGACGAAGCAGCGACGATCTCCTGGGCGGTGGGCGCGTCGAGCTTGCGAAGTGTGTCCGAGAAGGGACCGGTGGCGTTGATGAGGCACTTGCACTTGACGTCCCACTCGTCGCCCGTCAGCACGTCACGCACACGCGCGCCGCAGATCTGATCCGCCTTGCCCTCCACGGGCTTCTTGTGGATCGCCACCACCTCGGTGTGGTTGGCCACCACGGCGCCGTGGTGGACAGCAGTCATGGCGAGGGCGACGTTCATGCGCGTGTCGTTGTGCTGACCGTCGTAGTAGACGACGGCACCGGCGAGGCCGGACGACTTGAGCATGGGGAACGCCTCGAGCGCCTTGCCCTTGCCGAGCACGTAGGAGCTCTCCATGTTCTCGGAGCCGGCGAGGATGTCGTACATCTTGGTGCCTGCCCAGAAGTAGGGGATCTGCCACCACTTGTAGACGGGCAGCATGATGGGCAGGTGGTCCGAGAGGTAAGGAGCGATCTTGAGGAAGGTCTTGCGCTCGTGGAGCGCCTCGCGGACCATCTTGTATTGCTCGTAGTCGAGCTCGAATACGGCCTTCTGGAGGTATCGCACACCGCCGTGGACGAGCTTGGTGGACTTGGACGAGGTGCCGGCGCCAAAGTCGTCGCGCTCGACCATGGCCACGCTGAGGCCACGGGTGGCGGCGTCGACGGCTACGCCGGTTCCCGTAGCACCACCTCCGACGACGAGGATGTCGAAACCCTCGTCGTCCTCGTCGCCGCTGCGCGAGGCAGCCGCACCACCGGACTGCTCGGATGCAGCGGGGCTGGGGCTGCTAGAGCGAGAGTCCTTGGCGAGCGGCAGAAGGCTGGCATTGTCGTTGTTGCCGCGCGAAGCGTTGGGTCGGAGGCTCTTTGCGGACGACTGGCGGAGCGCTTCGAGCATCTGTGCGCGCGAAGGGGGCGACCAGAGCGGGTGCGGGCGGGTGTCTCCGGGCACAGTGTCGGGTGCGTCTGCGTAGAGCGAGGGCTTCGACAAGGAGTAAGCGGCGGCCGCACCACCAGCGAGGGCGACGGCGACGAGCACCGAGCGGTTGGGCAAGGCGCGACGCTGGGCCGAGGCGGAGGACGACGATGACGAGGTCGAGGCGAGGCGCACACCGGCGCGGGGCGCCACCGTGAGCGGACGGCGGAACATGTCTAAGGAAGCGCTGTCAGAACCAGCGTCACCTCGTACGACGGTTCAAGATGGGACCTGGATTAGGAGAGGGTATTCGGGAGTGTCGACGCCACTGCAGGCTGGAAAGCGTCTGCAAGGGAGAAGAGCGCGTTGTTGGGGGGACGCGCGTCGGGGAAGGGTTTGGTGAAGATGGGAAAGGAAGATGGATGAAGTGACGACCAAGACGAGGGAAGAGGACGACGGATCTCAGACGGCGGCGGTAGCAAAGAAGACGACGTCGGAATGCAGTCGCAGTCGCAGTCGCAGCACAGCCAGGCAGGCACGCAGCGAGCACGGACGAAGCTTCCGGTCCTCCGAACGGGCGATACGCAAAAAGGGCTCGGCTGAATGATTTCATCGGCGCACCCTCTCGTCCTCATGCTACGCTTTGGCTCGGATCGGAGCGGAGCGCAGCCACGAGCCTCTTTCCCTCCTTCTCTCTCTTTGGTGTCGCTCTTGGCAATCAGTGGCAGGCTTGGGTTAGGGTAACCCGAGCTTTGGTTGGGCAGGCGGTGCATTGAAAAGGCGGCAGACTTTGCTGCTGAAGCCTCGAGCGCATCTGACACGGATCGCGGCTGAGGCACCGGACCGATCCCACAGGGCAACCCGACGTGAAATTTAGCCAGGTCGCGCAGAGCCACAGAGTCAGAGACGGGCCGCTGGATGACGGCACCTGCGTCACAACGTGCATGTGCTCAGCTCAACTGCCGAATGTACATGCTGCGAAGATTTTGCACACTTCCCACAAGACGAGAAAAAAAATAACCATTAAAAAATTCGCATTTCTCGCGATTGATTCGCAGGCAGCTCTGTTCTGAATCGAGTCAATTTTTCAGTAGGCCAAGCCCAAGCCAAGCCGAGGTGCGCTGCACTCTGCTGCCGGGAGCGCACGTTCACACGCCCTCTCCCAAAAATCGCCATCGGAAGAGGGACCGAAAAGCCTCTGGTCTCTGATCAAGCCGAGCGAGTGTGATTCGGGTGTCAACGGTCACCTGACTGTCATCCACGGGAGTCTTGGCCAGTCATAGGTGGCCGGCAAGGCTGCTGCTCCTCGTGCAAAGCTCATGGTCTTGCCAAGGCTGCGATGTGAAAGTTTGCGGAAAGAGAGCGACTAGCCGGCTGGTCGGATTTTCGAGCCGATTAACGCTGCGCTGCCAGACGATACCACGAGATGGACGCTAAGCAGTGAGCAGCTTTGGTTGGCGCTTGGCTAAGCACTTGGCAGGCTCGCTCGGCATGGCTGATCCAGGGTTTGCAGGGTTGTGTCCGGCAAAATTTCAAGGGCGCCTTGTCAGCACGAGCTACAGTTTATCGTGCAGCCAGCCACCCGTCGTGTTGGCCCATCTCGATCCAGCACCGATGCTGTCGTCCACGCTCGAGGAGCGAGGAGCGCAAGATGCAAGGCTCGAGCGCCACGCAGCAGGTGAAAAATTCTCCGAGAGCACCTGTCGTTCACTCATTCGCTGCACCGCATCGGCTGAACCGAATCAGCTCGTCATGCACCGCGCCCTTGCTTGTTGGCGGCGTCTTCACCGAGCAAACCTCAGGCACCAGGCTCAAGCTTTCGGCAGAGCAAGCTCGGTGTCGATCTCGATCGGCATCGCCTCCCGATGTAGTGCCTCTCGATCCAAGTTGGACCGGCAATAGCTGCATCGGGCGAGGGCGATCCAAGCTTCAGGGCGCTTCTCTCTGCCAAGGGTGATACAGTGGATTCAGTCGGGTATCTACAGTGTACATGAGCTCCTGCGGGGAGTCTTCAGATGAGCCAAAGCAGGGCGGAGGAGGTTCTAAGCCTTGACGGCCTCGGCCTGCTTCTTCTCGGCATTTGCAGCCGCCTTCTTCTTTGCCTCTTCGTCTTTCTTGGCGGCTTGAGTAGATGCGTCTTGTTCGGCCTTGAGTTCAGCCTCCTTCTTGCGGGCAGTCTTGATTTGCTTGCGCTGTTCTCTTCCCTCCTTGGTGAACACGCTGGACAGAACCTGTTTGCCTCCGATCGTCGAGAGCGCTGCGGGGTTGATGGTTGCGATTGCGTGCGTCGTTGGCGCACTGTACGAATAGTAGGCGCGGTCGGGTCGTTCGGACCATGGCACGCGACAACAGCAGCTAATGGCAGCCAGCAGATCGCACAGGCTCACCACAATGCCGAACAGAGCCCGCACCAGCACGGCTGAAATCTCGCCAACGGCTAGGAACACGTTCTCCAGGAACTCGCCCAGATAGAGGAACGTCGATGCGAGACACGAAAATACGCTTCCCATGGTGGCGGTAGTCGTTGGCGTCGAGTTCTTGGTGCGCGTGTGGGGTCGAGAGGTAGAGGTCGTGATTCGTGGGCGTTAAGATGTCGTTAAAGCCGTTCGTTACGATATAGCTCGGTCGAAGATAGAAGGTGTGGGGGTGGTGTGGGCAAAGTCAGACCAGCCCACAATTGTTTGACACTTATACCTGCTCGTTCCTTTCATCAGAGCGAGGCACAGCTGCTTGCACACTGCAGCGACATCTGCCTCAAGATGCACAAGCGTACTTTGCTTTGACTGCCTCCCTGTGTTGGTCTTACAAGCAGTGCGGGGGGCCAGAGTGTGAGTGGTGGGACCCCCTATTCGGCAACGCGCCTTCATGCAGCCCACTCAGGGGCTCGCGACGTGCCAGGCACTCCCGGTTGCGCACGTCAAAAATGGTCGCCGTCCGGCATCTTGAGCTCCATGAACACGAGTCTATTCCCGGCAGAAGGCTCAAGCCTGGTGGAAGACAGCCCCAAGCCCATCCATAGCTCTGCATGGAAGCTATCATATGCTGTGCAGCGGTGAAACAAGGTGATGAGGTGCGCCAGTTCAGGGTCCAACTCGGCGGCCGGGATTGCCGAGGGCCCTTTTCTTTCCCCGCTCGGATAGGATCGGCAAGCCCGATTGTCCCTTGGCCTGTCTCTTTAACGCGAGCTTTCAGGCGAGCACTTGGCATTGTCATTCGCTGATCCTTGGTATGTGGACACGACAAGAGGTGAGAATCTCAGGCTTCGTACAAGTAGTCAATGCTAGACGGCAGGCTATCGCATACTGGGCATCGAAGTTCTGCTCAGCAACCGGAACCCGGCCAACAGCGCGTGCAAGTGGAGGCGGATTCCGCGCTCGCGTGAATTTAGAGCGTCTGGGACTGCGAGAAGAAACGCCGCCTGCGCGTTTGAAATCAAGTTGCCTCTGCCACAATCACGACCTGCTCATCCGAGCTCGATCGCCTCATCGTCAGCCATGGGGCGGAGCACGGACAAAGCCAAGGCGCTTGCCGAGAAGCAGAAAGGCAACGATGCGTTTGCCAAGAAACAGTGGGCCGAGGCCATCGGCTTCTACTCGGCCGCACGCCTCGCCGATGCGAGCGAGCCTACGATCCCGCTGAACCGCGCCATGGCCTACCTCAAGCTGTCCAAGTTCCTCGACGCCGAACGCGACTGCACAACGGCGCTGGAACTCTCTCCGAACAATGTCAAGGCTCTCTACCGTCGTGCTACCGCCAGGATGGGAGCTGACAAGTTCGAAGCGGCTCGTGAGGACTACAACAGCGTGCTAAGGCTCGACGCTGGTAACGCCGAAGCAAAGGCGGGACTGGCCAAGGCGAACGAGGCACTCGAGCGAGCAAAAAAGCGAAGAACGGAGCCTATCGATCTGCCCACGGTGGCACCAGAGGGCAGCTCTGCGAACTCTGCCGCCCATGCAAACGGCTTCGATCTGGGGCCTGCGAACGGAGGCACCGCCCAAATCGACTCGAATAGCTCTGTCGAGGCAGCGAGAAAGTTCCTTCAGCAAGTAGGAATGTCGGATGACCCCGAAGAGCAGGATTCTGGCTCGAAGCTGGCCTCTTCTGCCGGAAACGTGCCGTCAAAGTTTCCAGGCGAGACGGGCGGTCTACTGCGAGAGGTGACTACACGCAGGACACCAAACCCGGCCACCGCCAAACAAGACACGCAACGTGCTTCTTCGTCTGCAACGACCGTCGCAGCTCCGACCAGCAGCAGCGGGAGCGTGTCTCAAAAGACCGCGTCGGCTCTCAGCTTTGGTGCAGGTCCATCCCAACGACCAGCACGAGTCACACAGCCACAAACGCTTTCGGCATCCACATCAAACCCTGGCAAGCTTTCAGCCATCGAGTTCCAGCGTCGATGGAAGAACAAGTCGGAGCGTCTGCAGCTGCTGTCGTCGCTGGACATCGACTCGATACCCGGTATGATCGACGCGATGCTCGAGCCAGAACTGGTGGCTGAGGTGCTGGAAACACTGGCGCAAGGCCATCGATCCTCGCCGCAGGATGGAGAGCTGCAGCGAACGGCCGCAGATGTGCTGACGGTGTTGCCGCGGTGCAAGCGCTTCGGCATGACGGTCGCCATGCTGGACGAGTCGGAAAAGGCTCACGCTGCGTATCTCGTCGATGCGGTCGGCAGATCCGATCTCAAAAGTGTTTGGGAGCTCAATTGAAAGCCATTTGGGCCAGCGCTCGATGCATCTCCCACCTCTTACATGCGTGAGCTAGAGTGTGATGCTCTTTGGTGCTGTGCATGAGATCAAATTTAGTTGCAGAGCACTCACTGTGGGATGAGCGGGCTGAAGTAGTGGGGCGTCGCGCATTTTCGAGGGAGAAGCCAAGCGAAAAAGCCGTTCTAGTCGCCGCACGCACGGACTCGCCCACTGCGTCCCCACGCAAGAATCGCTACGACCAACAGCCGCGTGCTACAACCATCACCATCTTCTCGCACAGCGGTCTCCAACACAAAAGACAGGGCTATTCGCGACGCAGGCTTCCGCAACCAGATGCTCGTTGTGCCCTCCCGAACGATCGCCTCAATCTCCCGCAGAACAACGCTCCGCCCAGGTTCGAGCCTCCAACACGCTTCGCTCCGCGCCATGTCGACACGATCGGCACCCGGGTACGGCTTCAACCCGAACCTTCATCTCAGAACCATCGACCCTCCCGTGCAGATCGGTGCCAGATGGGCGCAGTCCTATCCATCCACCAGCTCGCCGCTCGCAGGTGCCGATGTGCTCCCGCACTTCCCGCTGCTCAACCTGGCGCAGGGCGTACCTGGACATCCGCCGACACAGGCATTGCTGGACCGCATCCGATTCGAGGGTCTGCCTGAGAACTGCTCCGCTCCTGCCGGTCACACGCACGGATACGGGCCCGTGTTTGGCGATGCCAAGCTGCGTCAGGCCGTCGCGAGGGACATCAACCGGGTGTACAGGACGCCAGGCAAGGGCGATCGCCACCAGGTCACCGAGGAGAACGTCGGAATCACGGCCGGCTGCAATCTCGCCTTCACAGCGGTAGCTACTGCCATCGCTGGTCCGGGAGATGCGCTGATCGTGTGCGATCCGTGGTACTTCAACCACCAGATGACCATGACCGCGTTCGGCATCCAGATCGCAGGCGTGCATACCAAGCCGCCGCACTTCTACCCGGATCTCCAGATGATCCGCGCCCTCCTGGCGAGCGATAACCGTACGTCGACAAAGACCATCAAGGGAGTCGTGCTGGTGACGCCCAACAATCCCACGGGTGCCATCTATCCGCCTGACTTGATCCGCGACATTGCCGTGCTCTGCAAGGAGTACGGCGTCGCGCTCATCCTCGACGAAACCTATCGCGACTTTCTCCTGACTGGAAGCGACGGCGACGGCCCCGCCGAGTCCTCGTCGCTGGCGGCGTCGGCGGCGCTTCCGCACAACTTTGCCCGTCCGCATGATTTGTTCGAGGACGCCCCGCCCGGGTTGGCGGAGAAGAGCTGGGATCCCGATTGGGATTGGCGCTCGACGGTCATCCATCTCTTCAGCTTTTCCAAGAGCTACGCCATCCCAGGACATCGTCTCGGAGGCTTTGTTGCTCACGAGGCCTTCCTGCAGCAGACGGTGGCCGACTCCAACGGCGCACAGAAGACAGTGTTTGGACCGACCGCCAAGGCGCTCGACAACTTTCAGGTGGCACCGCCACGCACGGACACGCAGCGCGCCGTTGCATGGGCGATCGAAGACGCCACCCAGCTGGAGTGGCGTGGTCAGGTAGCCAGTGAGCTGCGCGTGCGCAGGCGGGCGTTTGTCGAGGGCCTCTCGCGCCCCGTACCGCCGTTTCTGAACCCGGATGCAAGCGGCCTGGCAGGCCCGGAGTCTGATGCGAGCCTGGCAAAGTCGCCAGAACAGTGGGGCTGGAAGGTCGAGTCGGCCGGCGCGTACTATGCGTTCCTACGCCATCCGTTTGAAGATGTCCCGTCGGATAGGGTGGCACAGGCACTGGCGGAGCTTGTGGGGGTCGTGGTTTTGCCCGGCGCGTTTTTCATGCCGAGCGAGGCAGAGACAAAGGGAGATAGTGCCGGGTCGAGGCTGCGCGTGTCCGTGGCGAACGTGTCGACCGAGATGCTCGCCAAGCTGCCAGAGAGACTCGCGATCCTCAGCGAGCTGTGGCACAAGAAGGGCGCAGGTTGGGGCGTTGCATCCACGTAACGATCGTCGCTTATGCTTGAATGCGACATACTCGATCATAGTGCGCTCGATGTAGGCAAGCCAATCCTTCCATAAAAGCGTCTGCGTGTGAATGAAAGAGTGAGTGTGACGTGCGGATCGCTGTGGTTTTGCTGATCGCCAGGCCGTTCCGAAAGGCCCTCGCGACTTGTCGACTTCTTCCGTCCTGGTGTCATCTTCTTTCGACATCCTTCTCAGCGCTTGGGCCTTATCTGAGCCGGCGTGCTGATGCTGGCCTGAGCCTGGCGCACTCGAGAAGCACAACGCGTCTCGCCTTTTCGCTTTCGACTACTGCCGCCGTGCAAGTCGCTCAGAGTCACGGCATGCGACAATGGCGATGTGTGGTGAGACCTGGACCTGCGATTGCGAGCTTTGACGAGTCCAAACCCACCTGAAGAGATTCGCGATTCATCTCGCCCCACGTGTGATTGGCATGCTGGCATTCATCAGGCAGTGCTAACAAGTCGGGGCTCGTGCACACGATAAAGTGCTCCCCTGGCGACTCCTGCACCACCCACCGGCACTGCCTGATATTGTTTGTTACGTGCAGGGCGCAGAGAGGGGGCCGAGCTTGCATTGTCTCCAAGGCTATGCACGACGCCCCCGCATGGGCTCGAGCTCGGATTGGGCTATGATATGCAGTGGGCACGGAAGATCTACTGCCAAATCCTCGAGTCTCGCTTCGGAAGTCTTGCTTTTGAGGCCGATGTACAAAAGCCAGACCGCATGATCTCTACACATCCATTCTTGCCCCTTCCATCTTCTGCTGCGCTTCACGATCCGTCATGACCGACAAGACGAAAACTGCAGCGCTTGTCATCGACGCGCGTCGACCTGGAGCGCAAACGCGGTTCGGTACACCCCAGATTGCCGCAGAGTCGACTCCCGACTCATCGCAATCTTCGACCACGCTGTGGTACAACCAGGCCGAAACGCCTTCGATGCTCGCCACATCTCCATGCGCCTCTCGCAGTCTGACGTTGCAGGGCAAGTTCGGACCCGAGTCGGCCGATAGCTGCGGGTCAGAATGGCTGCTGGGAAAGATCAACGAGTTTCTCGCAGATTCTCCTGAGGCCGAGGAGACCATCGGCGACCCATCTCTGTACGATTCGCAAGTCTCGCCGTTGCGCATGAGAATGCCGCGGTCACCTCTACGGATCGAGGCGGGTCTTACCTCGGCCCTGTTCTACAGGAGTTTCTCCAAGTCGAATGCAGGGCATCTGGACGCTGCGCCGTTTCCATACAGCCCGACGGTTGAGGTGGCGACAGTGGCAACTGGCGTAAGAGTCTCGATGGAGTACGGATCGATGCGGTGTATTTCCAGAGATGATATGCTGGGATTGCGCAAGGAGGATGCCGATTCAAGAAGGTATTCGAGGATCCCGCTTGGTTCATTTTGCGGCCATGCTATAGAAGATGATGAGGATGGAGAAGCCACCCCGAGTACCATCGGGGAGACTCCACCGTTGCAGACGTCGCCGGCTAGCCTGTCTTTCGCCTCGCTGTCCTCTAAAGACAGCTCCGTCTCCAGCAACTTGACTGCCGAGTCGAGTCGACCGGGCCTATCTCCAACGATCACGATCACTAGGGATGCGACTGTGACGCGGCCCAATCGAGCATGCACAGCGGACAAGCCGACGTTGTTTCCTCCGGCTGCACGCGGGCTGTCGCGCTCCGCATCGGTGGGATTCCTATCCGCACTGGGCAGGGCGCGCAAAGTGTCGCTCTCTTCCTCCAACACGCGGCCGAAGCTGGTTCGCGTCGCCACGGCCGACATACTGCGCAAACCCACCGACTCTGACAAGCGCGGGGACGAGACCGGACAGGTATCCATGCAAGGATCGCCGACGAGCACGCAGATCGTGGCGGGCCGCAAGATGCATAAGCTCAAACAGCTGCTTGGCGCCGAAGTGGAAGAAGCACTCTCGCCCGACACCGCCCGCAGCATCGACACTATGAAGCCACTTCCGAATCTTCCACGCACACGGCTGCAGCGGAGCGGGACAACGGTCACATTGCCAGCGCTGCACAGAGACGGTTCGGTACGCGGCTGGTCGACGAGTCGCACGTGCAAGGCGACTGTGACGGGTCGTCCATCCAGTGCGCGCGACTCACGCTGCACCTGCCCAGCCTGCAAGCTGGGAGATTCCCCCCACGCAAAGATGACGTCGCTTGTAGGCGGTTATGGCTCGAGATAGAACGGCAATGCAATTGGGTGGTATCAAATGATGAGGTCTTGAGTCAACTGTGTGGTGGAGGTGACGGGCGTAGGTGGCTGTGATGGCGGTTGCTGCCGAGAATGGGAGGTGCCGGGATATGGTGGTTGAACCAGTCCCGTCGGAGGTGGCACGTCTATGTGTGGCGGTACTGGCTTCTGCATGCGTGGTGGAACGGGCAGCACGAGTCGGAACGAGTCTTTGCCTATGGTCATTGGGTTTGAATGCTTTGTCAGTTTTACAGAGCCGGAGCCTTGGTACAGAGAGCAAGCGCTTACCGTTGAGATAGAATCGATGCAGACGCTTTTCGCGGATGAAGCCCAGGCCCTCGTACAGCGCGAGGGCTGCGACGTTATCCGCCTCGGTTTCGAGCACCACCTCCTGTGCGCCACTATCGACCATATGCTGTACCGCATGACGCACCAGCCGTTTCGCCAGCCCTTGGCCTCGCCATGTATTGCGCACCGAGATCATGGCAATATACCCCCGCATCAGCCGAGCGCCTTTGAGGTGTCGATCGAGCTTGCACACAACCACGCCTACGGCGAGCCTCGCTCCTACGGCTGGGTCTGACGGAGCGTAGGCGAGAAAGCAGAGCTGGGGCCACTGGTTGACAAAGTATCGGTACGTGTGGACGATGTACGGTTCCGAAAGCTCGTTCTCGATCAGATCGATGATGTCGGCCATCTGGTGCTCGCCGTCGTACGGCTCGAGGACGATGCTGTCGGCGCGCGCCGAGGTGGTACTGGGCGTGACATGGTCGCCGGAAGGGTTGGGAACAGTAGCATCGAGAGTAATAAAGCTTGTCGAAGGTGTCGAGCTTGTTGGCTCGGCCGAGGCCATGGTGATGGTGATAGCAGCAGATGCGGAGGAGAGGAGAATGGCGTGGGGAACTGCATGAAGCCAAGGGTCTTTTCCAACGTCGGGCTGACACTTCCGAAAGCCGAGGTTGTGCAGCAAAAGAATGGTAGTTGGTGAGGCGTAACAATTTGTCAAAAGGCGGATGGTCAGTTGGCCCGCCATGCGCACCGTCATCGAAGCCTGGCCATCCCGCTCTGCGACTTGGCGCAAGCACGAGCGCGTCATCGAGCGGCGCGCTTTTGCTGTTCCGCTCGCATCGCAGCTTCGCATTTCCGGCCTGCATCCTCCACATTTTTTTTCTTGATCCCCTATTGCGCACGGTTGGCCACCTGCGACGTAACGTCTGCTCAGCCGTGCTGCGTCCAATGCTGCCTGGAAGACGGTGGATCCAAAGGGCTCACTGTGCCGACTGTGCCGAATGGAAAGACGCTCGAAAAGCACATGGCTAACATGGGAAGCGCCGGCAGAGTGAAAAAGGGCCGATGGAGCTGGGGCGGCCGAGCAAGGTGTGCTCGAAATAGGACTTTGCGACTTTGCCCGCCGCCATCGGTGCTGACTGAATGCAGCTGGAAGCCGCCCTTCTCCCGTGGCTTTTGCGGGAGGGCACGTCCTAAATTCGGAATCGACGTCCACGAGTGCCGCCAGGCTTCCCGCACAAGCGAGACGTCGAGCAGAGCGACCCTAGCCAGCACCCTTGGTTCAAAACCAAAAGGCCCCTCCCCACCCCGCGCTCGCTTCGCAGCTCCGGGGCCCTGTGAGTGCGCAAAGAGATGCACGCTGACCGTGTCTTATTGGACCGCGATGACGACGCGGATGCATGGCTTGCGACCGCGACGGTCTTTGACTCACTTTTGGCGTCCCGCCATCGGTCCTGTGCCATTCCTGCATGGACGTGCCAGTCTGCCCCACAAGCGACGGACCCTGGGCATCGGCATCCCATGCAGAGCTGCGCTGCGCGTTCTGCTGCGATTTTCAGCCAAAGCGTCACCGCCAGCATGCCTGTGTGTGCCAACGCCATGCATGCGTGTCCGAGAGCAAGACCGTCATCGCCGCACTGAGCGCGCCTGGTTCGGATGCCCCGACCGGCTGAGTTGAGCGTGCCCTCCGCCCGGTGAGACAAGGTGTGATCCCCCTTCGCGGCTGCCGCTCGGCGGGCTCAGAATCCTTAAAAACCAGCGGAGTCGGTGGACTCGGCCTTTCCGACGCTTCCTCACCCTGCCTCGACCCTCACACCGTCCTGTCCTAGCTGCATCGAAGCTGCCACTGCTCTCCCACTCCACCATCTGCTTCCGCAGCGTTTCGTCCCTCTCTTCCTCCATCCCAATCTAGCACTTTCCAAGTCACATCGGAAGCAGCCCGTTTACCCCAACGATCCCCCTCATCGCTCTCGAAACGCAGACATGTCATCCGAGCGAGAGCCCCTTTTGCCCACTCACGCCCGCCAGGCTCGTGAGAGCGTCGAGCAGTACGGCAGGCAGGCCGCGCGCGATGCCAAGGCTACCGCGCGCCAGTACGGCGTCGATCCGGACAACCTCGGTGAGCAGGCACGCCAGATGGCCCCCTCGCGCCAGACGCTCGCCCGCATCGCCCAGATGGTCGGCGCCTTCAAGGCGGGCAAGATGCCCAGCCAGAAGCAGCTCAACCGCTTCATCGAGGCCATCATGTCGAGCCCCGTCCTCGACGAGCGCTCCGTCGCCGGTTCCACCAAGCTCAGCCAGCAGGGCGCCGAGGTGATCCAGGACTTCAAGGGCATCCTCGCCTGCATCGAGCGCATCGGCGAGAGCAAGAACGGCGACGACAAGATCCAGAAATTCATCTTCCAGACCTCGCAGGCTTCCATCAACGTCACCGACCAGGGCGGCATCTCGGCTTCGCTTCCCACCGCCAAGTCGGTCGGCGCCGAGGGACTCGCCTCGGAGGCCAAGCAGGACGCGGGCAAGGTGCTCGGTGAGATCCAGCAGATCGGCCAGCTCCTGCTCACCTCCAAGGCCTTCCGCGACGTGCTCGCCGACGTCCAGTTCCTGCTGCGCGACCTCACTGCCGACGCCGCAGCCACCGCTGCGCAGAAGGCGGGCGGCGCCGAGGGCAAGCTGCGCGTCAGCGACGAGGAGCGCAAGAAGCGCGGCGATGCCGTCGAGGTGCGTGCTCCCAACAAGAAGGACCTCGAGAGCGCCAAGGATGCCGCCAAGCGCGGCGCCAAGCAGGCGCAGGACAACCTGCAGGACTCGGCCAAGCAGGCGGCCCAGTGGCTCGACGAAAAGACGCCCGACGACGTCAAGGAGGAGTTCCTCGAGCGCGTCAAGCAGGTCATCGACAGCGTCGAGCGCGATCCCGACTTCAAGCGTGCGCTCAACGGCATCTACGGCATCGCCAACAAGTGGACCGACATCGTGCAGGATGTTGCGGCCAAGGCCAAGGAGCAGACCGACGTGGACATTGACACGCCCGAGGCCGAAGCCAACGAGAACCTGCGCGAGGCGTTCCAGCAGCTCAAGTCGATCCTCGAGACGTTTGCCGGCCGTCCGCTCGAGCCCGTGGAGAAGTCGGTGAGCGAGCTGGTGGAGCACGCCAAGAAGATCTTTGACGACGAGAGCTCCAAGGAGGGCAAGGAGCTGCGCGAGTTTGTCGAGGACGTCAAGACGTTCATCGACCGCGCGCTCAACGAGGACGGCTTCATCCAGACGAACCGCTCGAACCGCATGGCCTCGGACCTGTACGACCGTGCGCAGCGCCTCTTCAACGCCACGGGCAAGGAGGCCAACAAGGCGCTCTCGAAGCTGCGCGGCGACTTTGACGCCGCGCTCGACGAGCTGTCGACGTTTGTGCACGGCCTCGAGGAGGATGCCGAGCTGCGCGAGCTGGCGCAGCGCGTCGAGAAGCTGGGCAGCGACCTCAACTTTGTCGACCTGCAGCGCGTGTTCAACAGCGGCGGACAGGGCGTGCTCAACCTGCTCAACGACGTGCGCAGCCAGGCGGGCGGCCTGGTGCGCGACACGGTCGAGGTGCTGGTGCCGCGCCTGATCAACGAGATCGAGTCGATCCCCTTCCCACGCATCGAGTTTGTCTCGCGCGAGGCGGACGTGGTGATTGACGACCTGTCGCTCACGGCGTCGCGAGCCTCGTTTGTGCCCGAGCGCGTGCGCATCATCAACCGCAACGACCTCACGCTCGACCAGCGCCGCTCGTCGTTTGGCTCCAACTTTGACGCCAGCCTCTACCTCGAGATCGAGGGGCTGCGTGTCAAGGCGGCCGATGTGGCGTACTACATCAACAAGAAGACGGGCTGGGTGGGCTGGGAGGACTACGGCCTGCTCGACCTCGATCTCGGTGGACGCGACGGCACGAGCTTTGTGGTGAAGCTCGAAAACGCCGACGAGGAGGATGCCGAGTCGTTCTACAAGGTGAAGCGCGTGAGCGTCGACATGTCGTCGTTCCAGGTCAAGGTGCGCCACACGAAGCACTGGTTCCTCAACTTTTTCCTCATGCCGTTTGTGCGCCCCGTGCTGCGCCGCGTCTTCCAGCAGCTGCTCGAGGAGCAGATCCGCACGTGGTTGCAGAACCAGGACCGCTCGCTCTGGGCCGCCCAGCAGCGCGCCAAGGTGATCAACAGCTACTCGAAGTCGGCCATCAAGAACGGCCAGGGCATCTCGACCAAGGCGTACCTCAAGGCGATCTTTGCGCCGGATTCGGATGCGTTTGAGCCGTACGGACGCAGGACGGCGCAGCCGCGCACCGAGGTGGGGCTCGCCGAGGGTCTGCAGGTGCAGGGGCCGCACGATGGATTCAAGCTCGCGATTGGTGCGTCGTACTCGAAGCAGCTGCTGCCTGGACGCGGTGGTCCGTTTAGGTATGCGAGGGAGCAGGCGGAGCGCTACAAGCAGATTGAGGAGTCGGTGCGCCAGGGCGTGCGGGAGCTGCGCGAGGGCGCCAGCGAGCTGCGCGAGGGAGCGCACGAGGCGGTCCAGCAGGTGCGCGACGGCGTCAAGGGCCTCGAGGGCGAGGCGAGCAGGGCCGGCTCCAAGGCGCAGAAGGAGGCCGGTAAGCTCAGCCGCGAGGCACGCAAGCAGGAGCGCCAGGAGCGTCTCGACTCTGGTTGGCGCTCGGACGTGTTTGACGACGTTGACCTGTGATCGCCTTGCGCCATTCACACTGATTCATAGGCGCATGTTTGTATGTTGGTGATTCTGAATCNCCAGGAGCGTCTCGACTCTGGTTGGCGCTCGGACGTGTTTGACGACGTTGACCTGTGATCGCCTTGCGCCATTCACACTGATTCATAGGCGCATGTTTGTATGTTGGTGATTCTGAATCTCGAGCCTGTATTGATTCTCGATTTCGAGTCTGTAGGCTGGTTGGAGTGGAAGGTGGGTGGCTGTGTTGCTGAGATGGTCTTGTGGCGTTGGATCGAGATCGGTCTGGGTGGGGGATGCTGGCTGAGGCGAAACGAGGGGGAGGAAGAGGGCGGAACGGGGCAGGGTGCGCGAGTGCACCCAGAGGCAGGGGCTGGCAGTGACGGGGGAGACGTTGGGGCAGACTTGCTGTGGCGATGACGTGACAAGGTGTGTCTGTCGTCGATCCTTCTCAGACTGCGACGCTTTGGGTACACATGGTGCGGAGCAGGTTGGGACCTTTTTTTTCGTTTACGACCTCGCACAACCACTCGCATCGTCCTTTCAAAGCCCAGCTCACGACGTTGACAGCGCTCGAAAGCTTCCTGATTGCATGACTTTGTTGTCGGCGAATGCGGAGATGTACATGTGTATCGGTGACAGCGGACTGTGCGGGATGCAGATACGAAGCGCCGCCGAACTGCAACGCATCGACTCTCGTGTCGGATGACAAAGGCACGCCTCTTACGAGTCTTGGTTCTGTTTCGAGTGGACGGCCGGAGAGCGTACGCGCTGGACGGGCGACTTTGTGCGTGCGAGCAGAGCCGCCGCCTCGCGTTTGCGCTTGTCTTCGTCCGCAGACGTGCCGGCGATGTCTCCCGCATCCGCTGCCGAGTCGTCGATGGAAAAGATGACCTCGGGCCGCTTTTGCGACTCGACATCGCCGCCCACGCCGCCCTGAGCGGTAATGTAGGGCGCGCCGCCATTGGAGCGGACGGCTCCGAGCGCGATGCTGTCCTCCGTCGATGGCCGCGAAGCGAAGGCCAAGTCGGGCCGGTTGCTCGGCGGCGCGGCGCTGGGTGGAGCAGCTGCCGAGTTGCGGTAGGGGAAACGTTGTTCCATGGCCTCCCTGATCTCATCGGTGAGAAAGAAGTAGAAATAGAACGTAGCCAGGCACGCACCTGCCACCAAGTCGACCAAAAAGTGATGCAACAGACTCATGGTGGACCAGCAAAGCCAGAAGGTATAGAGCCAGTAGAGTACGCGAGAGTCGAGGCGAAGGCGGCCGATCCTGATGGCGAGTGGGAAGAAGTAGGAGCAAAAGAGCGCGAGGATGGTGGCGTTGCCCGCGTGGAGCGACGGAAACGCGCCGAAGACGACAGGTGCACCGGTGAAAGTGAGGGTGTAGCCGTGCGAGTGGAAGAGTTCGTCGATGCGTGCGAGGCCGGCGGGCGATCCGCGCATGCCGTAGTTGGCGGGGATGAGGCCTTCGCGGAGCTCGTACCAGGGCGGAGCGCAGGGGAAGAGGATCTGGATGATAACACCTGTGAGCATCATGAATCCGAAAGCCTGCGCGAAGACCTTGACCGCGGTTGGAGGCGCAAAGACGAAGAGGAAGGCGGCGACGAAGAAGGGAGCGGCAAAGTGGACGATGCCGTAAGGGATCCATGCGAGGATGTCGAGGATGGGGTGACCGAACTGGGTGAGAATGTCCGAGATGTTGGCACCATACCAGATCGTTTCGAGCGTAGGCAGCACCGACACCCAGATGTGCGGACGGAGCGGGGCGGGGATGAACTTGCACGAGTAGAAGAGGATCAGCCAGGCAAAGATGGGTGCCGCCGGCAAGAAGAACTGCGAAGTGACGGGCAAGAGCAGCGTGACGATGTAGAGCGCCGGGATGATGAGCTTGAAGGGGAACGCGGGGCTCTCCATGACATAGAGCGAGAAGAGCGCGATGAAGAGGAGGAATCCGTACTTGAAGCGTTCGGTCTTGCTTGGCGACCAGGCGCGGAAGCGGTCGAGGTTCTCGCGCACGTCGGTGGAGAAGGACAGGCGCGATGCGGCGGCGAGGATGCGCGACAGCAGATAGTGCAGCCCAGACGGCAGGTAGAGTCGTGCTTTCGGTGGAAGCTGCAACAGCGGCTGCGGCGACGCACCGGGAGCTCCAGGCGCCAGACGAGGGCCGGCGCCCGCATGGGATTGCGAGTTCGCGCTGGATCGAGGCGCAGCCATGCTGGTGCTATAGCAGCCGTCACTCGAGGCGTGATCTGTCGAGAGCGTGTGACCGCGAGAGGTGATGGTGGCGTGACGGTAGAAAGACAAGCAGGAAGAGCCGATGATCCGACGGGTCGGCCTTTCCCACGGTTATTCGCAGTGTGTGTCTTTTGCAATGCGCTTCGTTCGGCACAGCCGAGGATGAAGTGGTGGCTGGCTCGTTTTGACACGCCGTGTTCTCGTCCTTCTTGGCGGTAGGCTAGGCCATCGGGAGCTTTCGACCCGATGCAGGATCGACCCTGGAATCGCATGCAGCTCGCAGCCGCTCAGCAGCCGCTCTCCCAAATTTAGAGGCGCGTGTGGAGTGTCGCTTCAGCCGCACCCTGCTGGGCACAACCGGCAGGAAATCACACACCCACCGATACAAGCACGGACGGCCAGGCACCGCTGCTATCGGCCTTCGTTGCCGTCATTGTTCCCATCCATCAGCACCTGTCGGCATCCCACCGAGCCCCACCACAACGGCAGCCGCAATTGTGTCACGCACGGACAGCTGCTCACTTCAGCCTTCGGATCAAGCGCTAGCATACAGGCGAGGCTGAGTTTGAGCTTGGATCAGCATCGCCGAGCTTGTCAGTCGCGTACGGCAGTGCCTGCAGCGGAAGCTCCAACCGCAACACTTCCAGCCCAGGTCCGCAGCGGCACGGAGCAAGATCTTTTCATCCGGCCTTTTCTCTCCGACATCACAAATCCGCATCTCTCTATATTGTCGTCGCGCTGACGACCTTCGTCCGCGATGCTCCTGCCGTAAGGAGTGGCTCGGAGCGGCTCAGACAGCTCTACCTGCATCTTTGAGGAGCTCACCACCATGGCGCCTCAGTACCCTTCCAGCAGGCCGACCTCGCTCAGCGTCGATCGCTTCAGCAGCACCAGCGATCGTCGCCACTCCTCCTCTTCATCTCACCACCAACGCCCCCAGATCAACTCACGCCCCATCACCCTCTGGACGCACGATCCGCCCAACTTTTCGCGCAACGAGGTCGTGCTCAACCCCGACTTCTCCCTGCCGCGCCTCACTGATGCCGACCTCCTCCAGCTCACGCTCCCGCCCGGATCGAGGCTGCCCAGCCACCACATCCCTTTCGGCCCCAAGGATCGTCGCAAGCGCTCTTCCAAGGCCACCTTTGTCTTTCGCGGCACAACAGCAGCAGCCGACGCCGACTTCATCGCTCGGCAGCCACAGCTCCAGATCAGCGTCTCCAAAAACATCGCCAACAACTATGGCTTCTACAACCGAGCAGAGGCCGTCCTCACCCGCGTCTCCAAGGATGATTTCACCATCGACCATGTCGAGCTCTACTTTCGCGACCAGTACGTCGGCAGAGCAGAGATGTGGAGAGTCTTCCAGAATCTCGAGGACACCTGCGTCTATTGCGGACAAAAGGTCACGCTAGCCGGTAGCGTTCGCGCCACCATCGGTCGCATCTTTATCAAGGAGAAGAAGGTCACCAGCGGATACGTCTCGGCCTCCACCAAGGCCATCTTCCGCTCCGAGTCGGCAAAGTACAACCTCTTCATCCAGCTCGCAAGGGAAATGTGGGAGTTTGACGAGGACGGTGAGATCTACTACGAGAAGGCGCTCCAGGGCTTCATCCCCGAACTCCTGCGTCGCTGGAGGGCGGTGCCCACCAACCACATCCTCACCGTCATCCTCTTCGCCCGCGTCCACTACGACGACTCCGAGCTACACATGCTCGAAGGCCCCATCCGCAAGGACTGGCGCGGCAGACACTACATCGACTACTACAAGGTCGTCGTCGATCTCGAGTCCAACTGCAACTGGGATGCCGTCATGACCACGCTCAAGGAGGAGTTCTTCCGCTTCCAGCACGACATCCTCCTCCTCCGTCGGCCCATCTCCGGCCCCGCCGCTTCGCACGAGGAGCTCCACGCCGACCTCATCCGCGACCGCGTCCTCATGGCCGGCCGCCTCTCCTACTCGTACGAGGGCAACCTTCTCGAAGCCATCAACCTCGCATTGAATCCGTTCGACGAGCACTACATCGACAGGGATCTCAACCGCACCGGTCTATCCATGGTCTTTGTCACCGCCGGCACCGGCCACTTCGACGTCGACAAGAAGCTCTTGCGCATCACCACAGAGCGCATGATCGAGAACGGCACCGGTCTCGACCTCGTTTGCCTCACAAAGATGCCGCTGCATTCGGTGCCTCTCTTTCACTTCAAGTCGCACTACCCCGACCCCTCCGAGCTCAAGCAGAGTCAGGCCAGCCGTACTCAGCGCCGCGCCACCCCGGGCGCTGGTCCCGGCATGACCGTCCATCGACCGGGTCAGCCCCCTTTACTATCGCGCCACTCGTCTTCGCGTCTCGCCGCGGCCAGTGCGGCTGCGCTGAATCCGCCCGATCCGCTCTACTTTGACTCGAAGAAGCCCGTGGAAGAGGAGGAGGACTTCTACTCGATGCCTCACTGGATCGATTGCAGCTTCTACAACTTGCAGCAGGACAAGCCCTTCCGCGCCGACCGCTTCGTGCCAAGATGCAAGATGTACGAGGTCCAAATGATGGGCATCATGGAAAACCAGATCTCGGACATCGCCATTCCGTATCTGGATCTCAAGGCAGTCAACAAGGCTTCGTCCGTCGGCTCCTCGTTCTACCTGCCTCGCCACGCCGGCCCCTCGAGCTCGGGCTTCCTTTCCGAGCCGCGCAACAGCCAACTGTCGGACCTCGCGCTCGTCGGTCTCTCACCAAAGCAGCAGAGGCGCATCGCGCGCGAGCGCTTCGATCACGACGTGTTCAAAGACGTCCCTCCTCTCGTAAGAGCTCCGACTGCAAAGCAAGTTCAAGCGGCCTCGGGCGGAGCCGCGGGCAGTCCAGCCGCGAGCGAGATCCAGAAGCCTCTCGACCGACCCGGTCTGCGTCGCAACCCGAGCTCAGGCTATGGCGGTGCGCCTACCACCAACGCCAACTCGGCTGCCTCCTCAGTGTCGCCGGGCAAGGTCAGCAACGCTCGACAGGGTGGCCCGCCGCCCAGAGCGTCCAGGCTGGGGCGCGAAGCGTCGTTCCGCGAAGAAGAGGCTGCCAAGGATGCGTCCGCGCCAACTTCGCCCACCAAGCCACGCTTCACTGTGCTCGAAGAGACCGTTAATCGTCCACCATTAATGCGTCCAGTGTCGCAGATCATCAGCCCCACCATCAGCAAGCCTCGCTCGAGACCTGGATCTATCCGCTCTGTCAACACTTTCTCCCGGGGCTTCCTGCCCATGGAGCCGATTGGCAAGGCTAAAGCGCTCGTGGCTTCCACCGATGCCGTTCTGTCCGCAACCTCGCACGTCTTCGACGAAGATCTTCCCGAGGAAGACTCGCAGAAGAACGGCGAGGGCCAAGACAGCCTCGGTTCCTTGAGATCTGCGGCGCCATCCAAGCCAAAGGGCTATGCTTGGCTGTGGAAGACTCTGACGGGCGCAGCACACGGCCGAGCATCAGGCTCAGAACGCTCTGCCGATGTGGACGACGTCACGAGCATCGATGACTACTCGACGCCCGCGACACGCAGCATGCAGGAGGTGCTCAGTGCCCAGCTCAGACAGCAGGCGGGAGGATCCAGCAAGGACAGGAGCCCGGCACGAAAGGCTGGTCCGGTCCCCGGGCGGTTAACGCGGACGTCCTCGCTGCTTTCAGTGCATGAAGCAACGGGCCCTTCACCCATCAAGATCCCAGCACAAGCCACGCCACGCACGAGGCAAGAGCAGGAGGTGGAAGAGAAGATTCTTCGCGATCAGGAAGCATATGAGCAACAGCTCGAGGAAGAAGAGGCGCGGCAGAGATATGCGCAGCGAGCCCAGGTCGAAAAGCAGACGCTCGTGAACCCTTCCAACCCGAGCAAGAATCTCAAAAACAGCACCTCGCAGCTGCTCCGCTGGCAGCATCTCTTCCCGCGCCGCCTCAACCACCACGCCGTCAAGTGGCGCTCCATGACGACTCCAGCCTGTCTGCCGCTCACAACTCTCTACCTGCCCACCGAGAGCGACCTAGCGGCCATGTGGAGCGAACACCCGCACACGACTTCCATTTCGGCAGAGACGGCCTCCTTCTTGCTGAAGAAGGCCAGCTCCACTCACCCAGCGCTGGCTGTACTCCGCGAGATGGCATACCACCGGCTCGCACAAGGCTACCAGTTCATTGTGCCGGCCAGCAAGCAGACGCGCACGGTCTCGAGTCGAAAGCTCGTCGATCCCAAACACTACAGCCTTCGATGGCCGTCCGAGCTGCTTCAACCGGGAAACTTAGCGACGGGCAATCCCATCTTCCTCAGCGTGACCAACCAGATCCACCGCATTTCGTACGATCGCTCGACCTCGGCGATCAACGTCAAGCGGTACGTGCGCAATACGGACTATTCGACCGATCCAATCGATTACGAATGCTGCATCTGGCCGCGCCATCTGCCGGGCTACCAGACGGTCAAAGCCCGCTTCACTTATCCAGACTCGGCAAGCTACAATTGGACGTACCTCGACTCGCTGATTGCAGGCTATGTCGACGAAAAGTTTGTCGAGTCGCTGCGGTACTGGCGCACGCGCTTCGTGCTGGTGCCGTCGGCCGGATCGCCACCACCCATGAAGGCGCCCACCGGCGAGGACCTGGACGATGAAGAGATCCGGCTCATCGGCACGGACAAGCTGGCGGAGCTCTTCCACCGAGCGCGGTTCGTGCGCAGCAAGGAGGAGCGAGACCAGGCGCACGTCCAGCGCTTCCTGCCGACGTCGTTAGATCCGGCCATGTCGTTGCAGGACGAAGACTTCATGAAGCAGTTGGCCGAAGAGAATGCCAAGCAGCGTGCGCAGTCGGCCTCGGCCAAGAAAAGGCTGCAGAAGGCGCTAGCGGGACGCGCGCTCGAGGCCGTGGCCAAGGACATGCGGTCGGGCGGACTGGTGATCAACGACAGGATCTGGCACCGGATGCTCTACTCGGACACCTTCACGGGCGCCGACTTTGTCACGTGGATGTGCAACGAGTACACAGACGTGCGCGCGCGCGATGACGCCGTCGAGTGGGGCATCAAGCTTATGGAGGAAGGTCTGTTCGAGCACGTGCACAAGGCGCACGGCTTCTTGGACGGACACTACTTCTACAGGCTGAGGAGCGAGTACGCAGGATCCAAGGGCAGCAAGTCGTGGTTCCGCGGTACGGACAGCCAGCGCGGCTCGTTCTCAGAGGCCCCAACACGGCCTTTGGTACACTCGAGCAGTCAACACTCGGGTCTCGGTGCGGGCGACTCGAGGCGGGCTGCCTCGGGCGACCATGGCGACACTGCCGGCTCGCGCTCGGCTGCAGCCACGACGGGTACGGCAGCAGTCATTGCCGCGTCCATTGCTGGTGGTGTTGCCGCGCCGGCGACCTCGTCGCGCTCTTCCGCGGGCGGCCACTCTCGCAGCTCCTCGATGCACCATCCGCATCCGCCCTCGCTGACCATGTCATCTGCGACGCCGAGCCGCAAGAAGAAGAAGGTGCAGCTGTCGCGTTCGATGATCATCGACGTCGATCCCGGCCGGCGCAGCGACCGCGCCGAGGTGGCGTTCCTGCACCACGACATTGCGCACAATCCGGCCAACGGGTTCAACTTCCAGATCCACTGGCTGTCGACCTCCGCGCGCTTTATCGAGGACACGGTGCAGACGTGGACGCGCACGGTGGAGCGCTACGGTCTTCGGTTGATCGAGGCGCCGATCGGGCAGATCAAGGACGTGAGTCTGCACAATCCGTTCCAGGCGCCGGTGCAGATCGAGTTGGCGCTGCCGCCGCCGGCGCCCGACACGTACGCAAAGCGGCTGCCGAGCGGCACGCTGCCCGAGCTCTGGTTCGAGTATGCGCTGCTGAGGCGGTTCGGATTCGTGCTGGACCAGGAGGCGAGCGGGAGGTATCCGAAGGACGTCGAGATCACGTACAGCTCGAGGCCGAACGAGTTCGAGTACAGCCAATTTGTGCATCGGAGCGGTGTAGCGTTTGTGCAGGTGCTCGGTGGGCTGGATGGATTCCTCTGGCTCAACAACCGGCTGTTCAACAGCCACACGCACGGCGCGGCGGGCGGATCGGCGCAGCGACACCACCCGCAGCATGCAGGACGCGGTGGCGAACGGCATGCGCGCGAGGAGGCGGCGGCGCCGTCTTCGCCGGATGCGGACGCCGTGCGGCTCGAGCTGACGCGCTTCTGTTCGGACCGCGACGAGCTGGAGCGCTTCTACCGCAAGGTGCTTGCGCAGCTGCTCCAGGTGGAGAAGGAGGAGCACGAGCGCGAAGAGCTCACCAAGGAGTACGTGCGCTCGATGCTCGAGCAGCAGCGCGGGCAGATGGACACCACAACGGCTGGCGGCGCGAGGGGGAAGAGCCGATCGGGCAGTCAGCACAGCAGCTCGGGCGCAGGCAGCATCTACGGCGGCCTCTCCAGAGACGGCGTCCTTCAGGCTCTCGCTCAAATCGTACCGGACAACAAGCGCGACGAGGCATGAGCCGGCGCACCTTCAAGCAAAGACGCCAGCAATGTAGCAGCATGGCGACGAAGCAGACGCGATTTGATACTGTTCATGTGAAATGGCATGCTGTATTGCGCGAGGGAGGGAAGATCAGCACTCAAAGATGCGTGCGGTGGAAACGTTGATGCGGGACCACTTTTTGCGGCGGATGAGGAGCTGCCAGAGGAGGAGCTGTGGCCACTGGAGGTGGTAGAGTGCAAAGAAGGGCCAGGGGTCGTCCTTTGCGAAGCTCGGGTCGGTGAAGGGTGGAAGGGGAGCTGGAGCCGCGAGGTCAAACGACGCTGGTGTGGCGGATGAGGTGGGGAGAGTGATGAGGCCTGCACCTGCGGTGGAAACGGCTGCAGCTGGCCAGAGTGGATGGACGAGGCGCATGAGACGCTGCAGCCATGGCGACGACAGCACATGCGCCGTAGGAAGCAGACGCGCCGGTAGATCGTGTCCGATCCAGCTGTTGGGCAGCGAAGAATGCGGGGCGGTGTAGGCTCGATGGAGGAGGTTCTTGGCGTGGTAGAAGCGCATGCGCGACGACGCCCAAGTGGGTGGCAACTCGGTCAGCGCGGCCAGATCCGTGTGTGCTTGTCTCTGCTCTTCCGGTCGTGCCTCCATGACCGGCAACGCGAGCGAGGACAGATAGGCCATCTCGTCCATCTCTGCCACTGCCTTCGCGAGGTGCTGCGCCGCATCGATGCGCGGCAATCGCGTCATGGAAGCAGGCACCAACGCCTCGCCTAGCTCGGGTAGCCCAGCCAGCAGACAGATGGCGGTGTGCACCCGCGGGTTGCACTCGATCGCCACCAACCGCTCCGCCTGCCCATCGCGCGTTGCAGGCTGGAAGATAAAGTCCATGCTGAACTGGCCCGTGATGCCGGCATCGGCGGGCGCATGGCGTCCCACCAGCGTGTCGCGGCTCCACGACGGCTGCCGAGTCAGCGGGCTTGCTGGCTCCGCGTGTCCACTCGACGCCTGCGCGTGCTTCTGCAGCCGATACAGAAATGTCGAGGTCCAGCGCAGAGCGAGCTCGCCCACCACAGTGTGCGAAGCAGGGTAGTATGTCATGAGCATGTCGTTGCTCGGACAGCAGACGAATGCGGTGAGCTTGCCGTCAACGACGGTGGCGTGCGTGCACCACTCGGACGCCTTGGCCACGCTGCCTGGCGCCGCCGCGGCGTCAGCACGGTCGCCGATGAACTCTTGCAGGATGTACGGTGTGCGTGCACAGAGCGGGATGGACAGGCTCGACAGCCGCGTGCGGGTGGCCTCCCAGTCGGGCTCGTGGGTGCGTGCGTGCAAGAGCGGGTAGAGCGTCATATCCGCGCGGCCTACATCGTCGAGTTCGGCCGCGCACTTGAGAATGGAGCGCGGATAGCCATCGGAGCGCAGCTTTTCGAGCGCCTCGTCCACCGAAAAGACGATCTCGCTGCGGGGTGCAGCCATGTCGAGCGACTGTAGGAGTGCGATGAAGCGGTCCTTCTCGTGGAGCGTCTCTACGAGCTCAGGGGTCTGTATCATGCTGCGCACGCGGCCCTGGGTGTGCTGTAGCAGAATCTGGGCCGCCACTGCATCCTGACCCGTGCTCCCCGCGCCCGAGCAGGGAAAGAAGAGATCCACGCGCTCGTCGAGAGCGATCTGCACGAGCGCCTCGATGTACGGCGTAATGGCATGCCCGCTCTTGTCGCCGAAGCGCGAGCTCTTGACGGCCGGCAGCGCCGACGACGGCAGCAAGTGAAATTTGGAGACCGAGTTGGAGAAGCGAGTGGCCGCAAGGTTGCCCCAGCCGTGCTCTTCGACCAGCACCACGCGCCAGCCGTTGCGGGCAAAGGTGCGGCAGATGGCGAGCGACTTTTGCATGCGCGCGCCGTTGACGAGCACGGTGCGCTGCGCCGTGTGGCCATTCGGAAGAGCCGATGGACGCGAGTTGGAGGCATCCCCCGCAGAACCAGCATGGGTGAGAGAGAAGAAGAGCGAGATGACGAACGAGACTGGCGCGAGGCAGAGCGAGAGGCCCAAGAGCAGCAACGTCGACAGCGTCGACTGCACGCGAGACGGAAGCTGGGGCGCCATGATTGGATCTATGCGTGTCTAGAGGGACTGGAGCAGGTGGATGGGAGGCAGTACACGTCGCCGACAACCTCAAGGCGAGATGCGGACAATGTGCGATCCCAATGGAGCCGGGCTGGAGGATAGATGTGGTTGACCGGAAAGGTGGAGCTACGTCCCTCACCGCATCTTCTCAGCTTGATTGCTTCACTGCTTGGTCGGTTCATCCGAACGAAGCCTCTCCCATCGGGGACCGGCGTCGCGCATCCATGAATCAGCACGATAACGGCCTGCTGTCTGTCAAGCTCTCGAATGCACATCACGGTCACGCCCAGCTAAGTTACGTGGCTTGTGCGCCACGGTTTGGCGTATGCGAGCAGCATATGCCCAGCAGCAGCACTTCCGACGAAGCTCGATGTGGAGTCGGCATCAGTTTCTGACAGGCCGACTCGCTGAGACCCTGGGACGTTGGGCATCAGCGCGTGCAGATGCCGCCGCGTCCTTCGCAGCGCTGCCCTTCGTGTCCTCGCTTGCGGCTGCCAGCCCAAGAAATGTCGGAAGCTCCGATCCCAGACGCCTCCAAGCGGACCCTGGCAGCTGCAGCCTTAGCTCACGCCTTTTGCCAATCTGCGGATGTGTCCATCTGCTCGATCGGCAATCGCCTCTGGCAGCAGAACACGCAATCCGAGCTGGGTTGGACGCAGTCCACCTTTGTCGCGTGCTCGATTCAGAAGCCCAGCATCGAGCGTGTCGATGCACTCGAGGTTGTAGTGTGCTCGGGGAGGAAAGACGCTGGGTGCGCGGTGAGGAAAAATCCCCTGGTTGTTGTTGGATCATGTCCCGTAACAATTGCAAGCTAAAATCTTACATCGTGCTGGATTTGCTGACCGGCACAGCTGCAAACGAAATCATGTCGCCGCGGCTTTAGGCTGACGAGTCGCTCGGTGTGATACGAAGGCAAGAAGCTGTGCAGAAGATGGCCTTTCTTATTGGATCAGGCTTGCTGCTGCATCGGTCGACCCGACCGTGCCGGCTCCTTCTCGGAAGTGCCGACCCCGCTGCACAAGCTGCGACGATGCCTTGATGCAATCTCATCGGACAGCACGTTCCGTGATGGCGACGCGTAAACAAGTGAGCTGATTCTAAGCGATGTCGATATTGACCGACGGCGACCCGGTAACTCACCGGCATAGTGTCGTGTGCCGTGCCGTGCCGATGGGCCTAATTTTTGGTTGCGCTTTTCGTGATGCATGCTCGCCAGGTTCCTGAATGAAAGGCGGTGGGACGCGCTCGCATGCCCTCCTACCGTGTGACGGAAGGAAGAAGCTGCTTCTGTCACGCTCGCTGAGGCGGACGGGCCGGAGGATTTTGGTGGGTTCGCAATTGGGCTCGAAAAGCAGTCGGAGCTTCACGCCTTCGGTTGATAGCCGAATGAAAGCTCGAAAACAAACGGCAAGGGTGTGCGTCAGACTCGCGCCCGCCTCCACTCCCAAGATTTCGTGGGCGGAACTGGCCAACAGTGACACTGCCCGAGCATTCCGTACTGGCTGTGCTGAGCTCAGGGCCGGAAGACCAACAAGCGAAGGCGTAGGGCTGACCGGGTCCTTCTCGCCTAGCATGCCGAGGCCCCACCAGCTTTGCATCCGCCCTCTCCTTTCCTCCCGACCATATTAACCCAGTATCCAGGCGCCCTTGCATGAAGCTTCCCACCGTAGCTCAGCTCGTTACCCACCGACCCTACCGTCCTCATTCGCTTACATCTATCCTTTGCGACCCGGTCACAACTAGGCATCTCTCCGCCTTCAAGCCTTCGGCGCCCATTCAAAAGACCCGCATCCGGCGATACTCTTCCAAGTGCTGCAGCATCGACAAGATGGCGACCTCATCCAAGCCAGGCGCCTCGGGCACGCCCGTATACATCCAGGAGGTGACGCCCGAGATCACGACGTTCGACTACCCGTTCAGCCGCTTTGGCATTCTGCCCATCGGCGGACGTAGCATCGCCATCAGGATGCGCGACGGCCGGCTTTGGGTGGTGCCGAGCACGCCGCTCGACCAGCCGACCAAGGCCAAGATCGACGCCATGGGTGAGGTCGCCTACCTCGTCGCTCCGGACAACGTCCACCACCTCTTCCTCAAGGACTTCCACGCCGCCTACCCCGCTGCCAAGGTGGTGGGCACCGAAGGTCACGAGGAGAAGCGACCGGACGTCAAGTTCACCGGCATCTACGGCAGGGACCCGCCCACAACGCAGTACGGCTACGAGGCCGAGCTGGTGCCGCAGTACTTTGCCACCTTTGCCAACAGGGACGTGGCGTTCCTGCACAAGGACAGCCGGACGCTCATCACGGCGGACCTGCTCTTCAACCTGCCGTGCAACCAACAGTACCGCAACACGCCGTCGGGCAAGGCCACCTCGTGGATCCCCGGCGTGATCTGGTTCTCGAAGCTTTTCAACCCGTACTCGAGCTTCCACAAGACCTTCCTGGGCGGAGCGGGCGTAGCGAGCGGGCTGCCCGGCGTCGCCAACGGCGGCTCCAAGGAGGAGCGCAAGAAGAACTTTGCCGAGGCGGCATCGACGGTGGCCAAGTGGGACTTCCGACGCATCGTCATGCTGCACGGGGATATCATTGAGAACCACGGCCAGGAGGCATGGCGTGCGGCGTTCAGCAAGTACATCGACAACGAGGGCAACTCGCGGTTCAAGTCGGCCTGATGTGCGACGACTGCGTCACCTTTCTTTTCTGGTCCCGCCGCTCGATAATCATACCTGCCTTGCCCATCTGACTGTTCTGTCTGCTGCAAGAATTGTGCGTATGAAGGAGGGGGGGGGATGGACATGGTGAATGATGAGCCCGATTCTGGTCTCGCTGCAATCTATTCATCGGGAGCTGCGAGGTCGATCAGGGGAGAGCATCTTTCACGGTTTGCATGTGTGTGGGCCAGGGCGAGGAACGGCCAAGCCAGGCGCACGCGCTCGCGCACGCGCTCGCGCACGCGCACGCGCAGCTCGGGCCAACTCGAGCTGTGAAAGTAGGCAAGAGTGAGACGTCATTTGCATTCTGGGCGGGCTGGGCACGGCGACTGTGTGTGCTGCACGAAGAGAGAGGGTTGGGGGGAGGCCTAAGCGAAGGCGCCGTTCGAACTTGGTCGGCTGCGCCGCGCTGCTTTGCTCGAGTGTGTGTGGAGGGCTAGGAGCGATTTGAAATCGCTAATTTCCGTTGAAATTGCAGCCTTTCGACTGCTGGCTTTGGCTGCAGCTGAGCTTGCAGCAAGCTGGAAAGGGCACACGTCGTCGGCTGCACCGCTCTGAGACAGGCGCCCGCTCGCTCTTCCTAGGAGGGAAGGGTGGTGACCAGAGAGGGAGTGAGTTCTACGCTGCTGTCGGGTGCAGCGGTTGCGAGGAAGTGGACTGACCGCGCCCATTCCACCGTTGGGAGCCCGGACAGACTTGCGCCGCTCGCTCGCTCGCTCGTCCGCTCGTCCGCTCGTCCGCTCGCTCGCATTCTCTTCCGCTCAGAGAGTCTCTGCCCATCGCCCTGAATTCTTCCCCGCACTCGCCGTCAATCCAGACGACTGCCGCTGTCTGAGTCTGCCTTTCGTCGTCACCACCACCACTCATATCCGCCTCCGCCCACCCGCTTCATATCGGACCCTCGCCAAGCACTCTGGTCCTGTCCGCTCGTCCGAACCACGTTAGATTCCTCGCAAACGCTCACCACCCCCGGTGCTAGCTTGCCGAGATCCACGAATCGCTCGTCCTCCACCGCTTTTTCGCTCCCCTCCTCATCTTCGCTCGGGATAAGCGCTCGTCGCCGCAGCCACGTTCAACGCTCCTCCTGCCTAAAACAGTCGATAACGTCCTAGCCACCCGTTCGGATCCAACAGCATGTCTGTCGAGTGCGTACATCTATCTCTCCTGCCGCTTGCGTCCTTGTCGCTCTCAGCCGCACAGAGTGCTTCTTGTCCAGTGCGGCTGGCAGCTCGACTGTGACGATCTGGCGAGGCTGCTCCAGTGCGAGGACGACACGCTACGGACTCATACAGAGCGCAGCAGATGACACTATCAAGTCAGCGTCCCCAGATTCACTGACACCTCTTTGTTACCTTTCTGCTTTCTCGCTCCCATCGCCTCGCAACGTGCCACTCTATCGCGTGCAGACTCAGCCCCCACGTCCAGCTGGGCTTCCCTCGTAAGTATCCCGCAATGGCGGCGCAAACCGGCTAGATTCCGTCCAGTCGCAGTCTTTGCTGACCTCTGCTTGCCCGCCCTTTTCCTCCGCACAGGCCCTCTGACGCAGCTGGTCAAGCGCACGCTCACCGTGTCCAACCCGAACAACCAGCCGGTCGCCTTCAAGGTGAAGACCACCGCGCCCAAGCAGTACTGCGTGCGCCCCAACTCGGGCCGCATCGAGCCCGGCGAGAAGGTGGAGGTGCAGGTTCTCCTGCAGCCCATGAAGGAGGAGCCCCCCTCGTCGGCAAAATGCCGGGACAAGTTCCTGGTGCAGTCGACGATCATCACGCCCGACTTTGAGACGGCCTCGCTGCAGGAGATCTGGCCGGTGATCGAAAAGGAGAACAAGTCGGCGATCCACGAGCAGAAGATCCGCTGCGCGTACCTGCCTGCCACCACTGCGCCGCTGCAGGAGGAGGACGAGGGCAACACGAGCCAGCTCAACGGCGACGAGCGCTACACGACTGTGCGCGGCGCACCCAGCAAGCTCAACGGCGACGAGAGCTACTCTTCGCAAACGTACAACCCGATCGCAGCTGCGCAGAGCGCCAGCGCCAACACCGACGGCTCGACGGCCGCAAAAGCGCGCGAGGCTGCGCTGGCTGCGGGCGGTGCGGCGGCTGCGGGTGCGGGTGCGGCGGTGGC